CCCCCCCCCCCCAGCATTTGAACAAAACCTACAATACAGATGTTCCTCTTGTTCTGATGAACTCTTTTAACACGGATGAGGATACAAAAAAAATACTACAGAAGTACAATCATTGTCGTGTGAAAATCTACACTTTTAATCAGAGCAGGTACAAGGAGTAAAAAAATTAATTCTGGGAGGTGTTACTCCAGGGAAGGACCTTTGTCTTGCTTGAACAGAGCAGCCTCAAGATATGCATGTGCCAAAGACTAATGTTTCTAAGTGTTTGATGCCTTTAAAGGCTGAACATTTGTTAACAGGATTGTTTTATAACCACTCTGTAGTTCTGTAACTCCCAATTAAGAGAATCTGGTTGAGATTTTTTCCATGTCCTTCAATGTTTGAAGGACACTTTACATCTTTGCTTTCTGAGGGCACATTTGGGCTCCAGATGGATCTATGAAACTTCTGTACCTGCATTATTGATAACCTTCTTTCCCATGGGAAGGAATTTCTTCAACATCCTGAATAGGCTTGGGGTAAATTTAATAAATTCTCGAGAAAATCATCTACTTGGGGGAAGAGAGAATAAGTACCCAGGAATTCAGTGAAGAACTGTGATAAAGCCCAGGTAACTAGGGAAATAAGACTTCCATTTAAGAAAGGATACAGGTCTATATGACCTTGTATAGAAGGGACACTTCTAAAGTGTACCGCAATTTTTTTTTTACCTGTTTTTCTATGGATACTTTCTTACGTCACAGGTGCTCTGCCCCCATTTTCTGGCCGGTCTTTCATCTGCTAACTGTACTAGCTGCTCTGTTGCCCTTTTCCCGTTGCGAGCCCCTCCACATATTCTCACCAGTGGTAGGAAACAGGGATCCCTGAGCACTAAGCTGCTGTATTTCTGGGAAACAGAGCACCACCCTGAGTGTGTCTGTTTATAAGAATGGACAGCTTTTCCCAAATAGGTTTTCAGGGAAAAGAATAATCCCACAGCCATGTATGTTTGAGAAAATTTACTTAGTATCTCTCTCTTCTTGGAGACATAAAATACATTATCATAAAAATTATGTATCTCCCCTATCTGCATGACCATGGGGAACTTTTTTTCTTTAAAGCAGCAAGTATTACTCTTAGAAACTGATTTTTGGACAAATGAATTGGATAAACAGATTCACCTACGGTTATTTATTATTGATAGACTGAAAGGGAGGGAAGTTTTTACTTAACTTTGAGTGCATGTTTTAATTGAAGGTCTGGAATGTTCTACAGAGTTGATATTGAAAAGGAACTTTTTTGTTTTTTAAGGTACCCAAGGATTAATAAAGAATCTTTACTGCCTGTAGCAAAGGATGTATCATACTCAGGGGAAAACACAGAAGCCTGGTACCCTCCAGGTCATGGTGATATTTATGCCAGTTTCTACAACTCTGGTTTGCTTGATACCTTTATAGGAGAAGGCAAAGAGTATATTTTTGTGTCTAACATAGATAATCTGGGTGCTACAGTGGATCTTTATATTCTTAATCATCTAATGAACCCACCCAATGGAAAACCCTGTGAATTTGTCATGGAAGTCACGAACAAAACACGTGCAGATGTAAAGGTAAATAAGAGGCAGCAACCTGGATTTACATCTTCACACATACCATAGGCTGTGTAGTTCAAACTCTTTTTTGTATTGGAACGTTTGTATGTTAAACAACACATATTTATGCATCAGTAACAGCACTTTTTGCCACAGAGTGAGTAGTGTGTACTGTGGCATCTCCTAAGTTTGTCTGACAGAACAGTGTGTATATAAATCCAGATTTAATAATGTTATCATCTTTATTTTTTGAATAATCCATATGGGCAATTTTAACTGAAAACAGTTCCACATATATTTATGGGATAAATCTGAAAACATATAAAAATACTTTGATGTTTGTTCAAACCTTAATATTCTTCTTTCAAGGTTTTCAAACCTTGGTGCTTTATTTCATTGTTTCTTAAATGAAAATTTCTACTGTTTCTATATATATATATATTTTTTGCTTTATCACTGTAAGATCTCTGTAGCTGCAAAAAACAATTGTTTAGCACAAAGCAAAAATTTGTTTTTTTTTAACTATGCTTGTTTAGTGGTGCTGACACTTGGCCTTTGATGGCATGTACACAGGGTCTTACTGACTTGCACACGCGGAGCGCAAGTGGGCGTACTGAAGTGATCAGTCCCAGGGTTAGGTTCACTGTCTCCTGGAAATGTTCCCCACACGAGTGAATTTTCCCTTCTTCCCACACTACCATGGCTTCCTGCTTATAAGAACCTCTTAAGATGAGGCCACTTGGGTCATTTCACATCCTCCTGTACCTCTGTCTTCCCTTTTCTTTCCTAATCCTAGAGTCCCATCAGCAAGGGTCTGAGTTGTTAGTGGACGGTGGTTTGGGAATAGAGGAATGGCTGTTCCTGTAGCGGACCACAGAAAGTAAAGACTGACATGCAACCAGTGCTTTTATTATGGACAAGAGGGTGGGAATACAATATAAAATGACTGACATCCTGAATTATTTTCATTGATTTTGTCTTCATACATATGTTGCTTTGTATCACAGATTGAATCAGTACCAATGCTTTTCATTTCTGGTGGATTTTATCAAGTTTTTCAATAACATTCTTAGACTATAAATAGTGTGGTGTGGTCATGATTGGGAGAAATGAGGCATTCACTCACTGTTCTCT